GGGCACATGGTGATGGGTGGAGACCACCATGGCCCTATGGGGTCAGTGGTCAAATTTGGGGTATGGGGTGATGGGTGGAGACCACCATGGATCTGTGGGGTCGGTGGTCGTATTTGGGGTATGGGGTGATGGGTGGAGACCACCGTGGATCTGTGGGGTTGGTGGTCCTTGGGTCACCATGGATCTATGGGGTTGGGTCAAATTTGGGGCACGTGGAGATGGATGGAGACCACCATGGATTTATGGGGTTGGTGGTCCTTGGGTCACCATGGACTTATGGGGTTGGTGGTCAAATATGGGGCACGTGGAGATGGATGGAGACCACCATGGCCCTATGGGGTCGGTGGTCAAATTTGGGGTATGGGGTGATGGGTGGAGAGCACCATGGACTTATGGGGTTGGTGGTTGTCCTTGGGTATGGGGTGATGGGTGGAGACCACCAGGGACTTATGGGGTCGGTGGTCGAATTTGGGGTATGGGGTGATGGATGGAGACCACCATGGATCTGTGGGGTCGGTGGTCGTATTTGGGGGATGGGTGGAGACCACCGTAGGTCTGTGGGGTCGGTGGTTGAATTTGGGGGATGGGGGGATGGGTGGAGACCACCAGGGACTTATGGGGTAGGTGGTCGAATTTGGGGTATGGGGTGAATCTGTGGGGTCGGTGGTTGAATTTGGGTGATGGGGGGATGGATGGAGACCACCATGGACTTATGGGGCTGGTGGTCAAATTTGGGGTATGGGGTGAAGGATGGAGACTTCCATGGATCTATGGGGTCGGTGGTCCTTGGGTCACCATGGACTTATGGGGTTGGTGTTCCTCTATGGGGCACATGGTGATGGGTGGAGACCACCATGGCCCTATGGGGTCAGTGGTCAAATTTGGGGTATGGGGTGAGGGGTGGAGACCACCATGGACTTATGGGGCTGGTGGTCGAATTTGGGGTATGGGGTGATGGATGGAGACTACCATGGATTTATGGGGTTGGTGGTCCTTGGGTCACCATGGACTTATGGGGTTGGTGGTCAAATATGGGGCACGTGGAGATGGATGGAGACCACCATGGCCCTATGGGGTCGGTGGTCAAATTTGGGGTATGGGGTGATGGGTGGAGAGCACCATGGACTTATGGGGTTGGTGGTTGTCCTTGGGTATGGGGTGATGGATGGAGACCACCGTGGATCTATGGGGTTGGTGGTCCTTGGGTCACCATGGATCTATGGGGTTGGGTCAAATTTGGGGCACGTGGAGATGGATGGAGACCACCATGGACTTATGGGGTCGGTGGTCCTTGGTCACCATGGGTCCATGGGGTCGGTGGTTGAATTTGGGGTGAAGGATGGAGACCACCATGGATCTACGGGGTTGGTGGTCCTTGGGTCCATGGATCTATGGGGTTGGTGGTCGAATTTGGGGCATGGGGTGGTGGGTGAAGACCACCATGGACTTATGTGGTCGGTGGTCCTTGGGTCACCATGGATCTATGAGGTTGGTGGTCGAATTTGGGGTGAAGGATGGAGACCACCATGGACTTATGGGGTTGGTGGTCGAATTTGGGGCATGTGGAGATGGATGGAGACCACTGTGGACTTATGGGGTCGGTGATCCTTGGGTCACCATGGACTTATGGGGTTGGTGGTCCTCTATGGGGCACGTGGCGATGGGTGGAGACCACCATGGAACCTATGGGGTTGGTGGTCCTCTATGTGACATCTGATGACGGATGGTGACCACCATGAATCTACGGGATTGGGAGAGCAGCCAGAGCCCCACGGCCACCCCATAAGCACCCCATAAGCACCCCATAAGCGCCGGACCCACCTGGCAGGAGTCGGTGCCCCCCGAGCTGAGCCCTGCGCAGAGCATGTTCTTGGTGATCCCTTTGGGGTACAGCCTGGAGCACTCCTCGTTGGTGATGGTGTAGACGACGCCGCACTGGAGGACATCGGGGAAATACCCTGGGGACAAGGGGACGAGGTCAGCGTGGAGGGGGGACAGGACACACCGTGCCCCACAGATCCCTTCGGGGGGAGGGGTGGGGCGCTGACCCACCCCAGGGACTCAAGATTCCCAGATGTCCACAAGATGCTGAGATGCCACCGAGATGCTGAGGTGTCCCCAAGGCACCGAGGTGTCCCCGAGGTGCGGAAATGACCTCAAGATGTCCCCAAGATGTGGAGATGTCCCCATGGTGTCCAGATACCTTCAAGGCACTGAGATGTCCCCAAGACACCGAAACGTCCCCAAGGCACTGAGATGCCCCCAAGGCACTGAGATGTCCCCAAGGCACCGAGGTGTCCCCGAGGTGCTGAAATGACCTCAAGATGTCCCCAAGACGTGGAGATGTGCCCATGAGGTCCAGATACCTTCAAGGCACTGAGGTGTCCCCAAGACACCAAGGTGTCCCCAAGGCACTGAGATGTTTCCAAGACACCAGAAAGTCCCCAAGACACTGAAACGTCCCCAAGACACCAAAATGTCCCCAAGACACCGAAACGTCCCCAAGACACCGAGGTGTCCCCAAGGTACTGAGATGTCCTCAAGTCACTGAGATGCCCCCAGGGTATTGAGATGTCCCCAAGGCACCGAGAGGTCCCCAAGGTACCGAAATGACCTCAAGATGCCAACAATCACCTCAAGATGTCCCCAAGACGTGGAGATGTCCCCATGAGGTCCAGATACCTTCAAGGCACTGAGGTGTCCCCAAGACACCGAGGTGTCCCCAAGGCACTGAGATGTTTCCAAGACACCGAAAAGTCCCCAAGACACCGAAATGTCCCCAAGGTACTGAGATGTCCTCAAGTCACTGGGATGCCCCCAAGGTACTGAGATGTCCCCGAAGCACCGAGAGGTCCCCAAGGTGCTGAAATGACCTCAAGATGTCCCCAAGACGTGGAGATGTCCCCATGGTGTCCAGATACCTTCAAGGCACTGAGGTGTCCCCAAGACACCGAAATGTCCCCAAGACACCGAGGTGTCCCCAAGACACTGAGATGTCCTCAAGTCACTGAGATGCCCCCAGGGTATTGAGATGTCCCCGAGGCACCGAGAGGTCCCCAAGGTGCCGAAATGACCTCAAGATGCCAACAATAACCTCAAGATGTCCCCAAGACGTGGAGATGTCCCCATGGTGTCCAGATACCTTCAAGGCACTGAGGTGTCCCCAAGACACCGAGGTGTCCCCAAGGTACTGAGATGTCCTCAAGTCACTGGGATGCCCCCAGGGTATTGAGATGTCCCCAAGACACCGAGAGGTCCCCAAGGCACTGAGATGTTTCCAAGACACCGAAACGTCCCCAGGACACCGAGGTGTCCCCAAGGTACTGAGATGTCCTCAAGTCACTGAGATGCCACCAAGGCACCAAGGTGTCCCCAAGATGGTGTTGAGATGTCCCCAAGGTGTTGAGATACCCTCAGGACACTGAGATGTCCCCGTGATGTTTTGAGGAGTCCCCAAGGTGTTGAGATGTCCCCAAGATGTTGAGATGTCCCCGAGGCACTGAGGTGTCCCCAAGGTGCTGAGATGTCCTCAAGACACTGAAGTGCCCCCAGGATGCCGAGATGTCGATCCCCAAGATGTTGAGATGTTCCCCAAGGCCTTGACATGCCCCCAAGACGTCAGGATGTCCCCAAGGTGTTGAGATGTCCCCAAGGTGCTGAGATTACCTCAAGATGTTGAGATGTCCCCAAGACAACGAGGTGTCCCCAAGGTGCCTTAGATGTCCTCAAGATGTCGAGTTGTCCCCAAGATGACGAGATAACCTGAAGACGTTGAGATGCCCCCAGGACACCGAGATTGTCCCCATGATGTTGAAATGCCCCCAAGGTGCTGAGATGCCCCTCAAGACAACGAGATGCCCCCATGATGTACAGATGTCCCCAAGATGCCGAGATGTCCCCAAAATGTTGAGATAACTTCAAGATATTGAGATACCCTCAAGACACCCAGATGCCCGCATGATGTTGAGATGCCCCCAAGTTGCTGAGATGTCTTCAAGACACTGAGGTGTCCCCAAGACGACAAGATGTCCCCAAGATGGTGTTGAGATGCCCCCAGAATGTTGAGATAATTTCAAGACATTGAGATACCCTCAAGACACTGAGATGCCCCCAAGGTGTTGAGATGCCCCCAAGTGGCTGAGATGTCTTCAAGACACTGAGATGTCCCCAAGCTGCTGAGATGCCCCCAAGATGTTGAGATAACTTCAAGATGTTGAGATGCTTTCAAGGTGTTGGGATGCCCCCAAAATGTTGAGATGCCCCCAAAATGTTGAGATGCCCCCAAGGTGTTGGGATGCCCCCAAAATGTTGAGATGCCCCCAAGATGCCGAGATGCTCCCAAGATGTTGAGATGACTTTAAGACATTGAGATATCCTCAAGACACTGAGATGCCCTCAAGACACCAAGATGCTCCCAAGGTGTTGAGATGCCCCCAAAATGTTGAGATAACTTCAAGATGTTGAGATGCCCCCAAGACACCCAGATGCTCCCATGATGTTGAGATGCCCCCAAGGTTTTGAGATAACTTCAAGTCATTGAGATACCCTCAGGACACTGAGATGCCCCCAAAATGTTGAGATGCCCCCAAGGTGTTGAGATGCTCCCAAGACGTTGAGATGCCCTCAAGACACCCAGATGCTCCCAAGCTGTTGAAATGCCCCCAAAATGTTGAGATACCCCCAAAATGTTGAGAGGCCCCCAAAATGTTGAGAGGCCCTCAAGACACCCAGATGCTCCCGAGGTGTTGAGATGCCCCCAAGATGTTGGGATACCCCCAAAATGTTGAGATGCCCCCAAAATGTTGAGAGGCCCTCAAGACACCCAGATGCTCCCGAGGTGTTGAAATGCCCCCAAGATGTTGGGATACCCCCAAAATGTTGAGATGCCCCCAAAATGTTGAGATGTCCCCAAAATGTTGAGATGCCCCCAAGACACCCAGATGCTCCCAAGGTGTTGAGATGCCCCCAAAATGTTGAGATGCCCGCAAAATGTTGAGATGCTCCCAAAATGTTGAGATGCCCCCAAAATGTTGAGATAACTTCAAGATATTGAGATGCCCTCAAGACACCCAG